CTTTTCTACTTAAAATCGAAACTCGATTTTTATCTAATTATTCTTTTTGTGTTCTATATAAGAAACAATTATTTTTTTCTTTCGACATTTTGATTACATATTTATCTGAATATGAGATATTTTTTTTACTTAAGAAGCGAATTATTTTTATCTAACAAAAAGAATTTTTCTATTCAATAAAAAATTTTTAACTTTTCTTTTTTTCCTTGTGATTTGTCTGTTATTAAGCAATTTTTTAACATAAAAAACGAATTAATGAATAAAAATAATAAGGCCTAAATAAAAAGTACTTTTGTAACTGAAAAATAAAATTATGATTGTCTGACAAAAAATGAAGTTTTCTACTTAGAACGCAAATTATTTTTGTCTGACAAAAAAGAATTTTTCTACTTAAAGTAGATTTTTATACAATTTTCGAATTATTTTTCATGTGATTTATCTGAAAAAATCGTATTTTTTTACTTAAAATTAGAATTTATTATGTCTGACTAAAAAGCATTTTTGTTACTTCAAAAATATAAATTGTTGTCTGATTATAAAAAATTATTTTTACTTAAAATAGAAAAATAATTGTTTTGTAATTATTTTCCATGTGATTTCCTTGTCAAAAATGTTTTTTACTTAGAAATTTTAATTGTTTAAATTTTTATAATTATTTTTTCAATTGAAAATAATTTCTTTTTTTTAAAATCAGAATACTAATTTACTTTGGCTGACAAAAAAGAATTTTTCTACTTAAAATAGATAAAATCATATTCTAATTATTTTTTATGTAATTTAAAAAATAATTAGAAAAAAAATTTTTTTTTAAAATAATGTTTCTTCCTTAGAAAATTTGATTGTATAAACTTTTTAAATTATTTAAAGCTTTAATTAATAGATTCATGTTTTTAAAATAAAAATACGAATTTTCTTTGTCTGACAAAAAAGAACTTTTCTACTTAAATAAAATTTTTGAACTTTGTTGTATTATTTTTAATGTGATTTTTGTCTGACATAAACAATTTTTAACACAAAAATTCGACCTAATTTTGTCTGACTAAAAAGTGCTTTTGTTACTTAAAAATAAAATTATCTTTGTCTGACAAAAATATAGTTTTCTACTTAAAATCTTTTTTGAATTCTTTTCCACGTCATTTGTAGGATAAAAATAATTTTTTTTACGTATAGAAATTTAATAATATTGATTTTTTCGTTGATTAAAATTAAAATTAATTTATGCATGAAAAATTATTTAAGAATGCATAAAGTAATAAATATAAATAATTCTTCTAATTCGAAGAAAATGTAAAAGAATTTTTTCTGGAAAAAAAAATTTTTGTTCATAACCAAAAAGTGTGGACGTTTGAATAAATATAAGTAAAATCAATAAAATAATTAAAAGAAAATAATAGAAATAAAAAATGTAACTTAAAATAAATAAGAGATAAAATAAAATAAGAAATAAAATAAAAATATTTGTACACTAGATAAAAAAGAGAAATGAATATAAATGAAATATAAAATTAGAATAAATAACAAATTATATACATCTTAACGGATAAAAAAGAAGTATTTCTTAATTGATCCCAAAGTGTAAATATAATATAATTATAAATTCGTGTCTACTTGCATTTAAGACAGTAAGACAAGAAGCACATTTTCTTTCATCACATTTAGAGTATATTCAGACTAAATATTGTAATAAAACATCCGAGAGTTGTTCTATTGGAGTGTTTTGCGATATTCTATTGCGCGGTTAACCACTCTGATGGGTAACTGAAATAATCATTTCAAAGCGCTTTATTAAAAGGGTAAATAATTAACTTTTACTACTTCCTACTGCATTATTTCTCTCTTTCTCTCCACACTCTTTTAGAAAATCATTATACAAACGAAATCCCCTTTTTTTCGACAAATACAATTTTTGTTTTCCTTTCCTTAATAATTTTATTTATATTTTTAATTAAATTCACAAATTTATTTATATTTTTAATCTATTTCACAAATTTATTTATATTTTTAATCAAATTCACAAATTTATTTATATTTTTAATCAAATTCACAAATTTATTTATATTTTTAATTAAATTCACAAATTTATTTATATTTTTAATCTATTTCACAAATTTATTTATATTTTTAATCAAATTCACAAATTTATTTATATTTTTAATCAAATTCACAAATTTATTTATATTTTTAATCAAATTCACAAATTTATTTATATTTTTAATTAAATTCACAAATTTATTTACATAAATAAAAAAGTATATTTCAAAAAATATCATTTAATTTAAATAAATAAATCGCCAGGCAACACTTTCTTCACGAATTCTTTACATCAAGGCAAAGATAATTTTTATCAGAAAATATTTCAAGTCTATACAATAAAATGTAATTGCAATGGGACAGAAATTATAATAATATTATATACTTTAGAGCTATATAAATATTTAATGGAGCAAATATAGGTTTTGTCTTGAAAAAGGTCAACATGAGGGCATGTTCGTGACATCGCGGAGGAACCATCGTTTTCAACATTAGCAAACGAGAAGGAGGAATACTTGTAATAAAAGCGAGAAAGTAATTGCGCGCTTACGCGATATATATACAGTTCTGCTTAGACGTGAGACTGTACCATTTAATTACTTCGTTTGGTTTGTTCTCGAGTTAAATCTTTGCTACCTAATCTCTAACATTGTTTACAACTGGAAAAAAAATTATTACAATGCCGGAAGGATTCATCTCTTACTCTCCCGAATTATATATATATATATACTATAAAGTTAAATAATTTATTATATAGTTACGTGATCGAGAGTTGAAACTATCAACAAATTTTCCTTTTTCACTATATTATAATTTATTGTTATTTAATACTCATCATGACAATAGAGAAATATTTTTTATCAATGTACAGAAAATAAATCATTTTATAATTAACTGTCGCTTTTATAGATATTCATTATTTCTAAAAGAAAAATATCTTCTTTAAAAATATTTTTCTTTAAAAATCTTTTTCTACAAACTTTTTTTTTTCTTTAAAAATCTTTTTCTATAAACTTTTTTTTTTCTTCAAAACTCTTTTTTTATAAAATTTTTTTTTCTTTAAAAATCTTTTTCTATAAACTTTTTTTTTCCTTCAAAACTCTTTTTTTATAAACTTTTTTTTTCTTTAAAAATCTTTTAAAAGAAAAAGATAGTTTTCTTGTAAAAAAGACAAGTGTTTTTTTACGGCGTTAAAATAAATATTCTTTAGAACCAAAGTACTTTTTTATCGGACAATATCCACAAGACTTTAGAAAATACTAAATAACAATAATAAAATAAGGCTTTTATTTCACTAAATTTTATTTTAATAAAATTAGAAATCTGATTAAAGTTTTTTGTTGAAAAAAATATTAAATTCTTACAAGAATATTTTTAAACTGAAAAAAATGGTTTGATAATTTAATTTCTCCACCTGAGAACGCAAAGATCGCCACCAGGTGGCGAGAAATCAGATTTTATCAACCGAACTGCCATCTAGCGATGACCTTGACGTTCTCAGGTGGAGGATAGAATCTCCATATTGAATCTCAAGATGTTCGTAATACAAACGAAAATTATAAAGACAGGTTAATTAATTAATTAATTAATTTTGCAATATATTAATTTTTTTAAAATTAATAATACAGTAGTCATAAAAATAAATACATTATTATATTTTAATTAATATATTAATATTAATACTGACGCATTTTAAAAAGCTTTTAATTCGGCGCAATTTTGTTTGCAGATTATTTATAGTAAATAACAGAATATTTATACAAATTGGAAAATTCTAATTATTGTTAAATTAAAAATTAATAAATTAATGTTATTATTTAATACATATTATTGAAGAAAAAAAATTTACTTGTCAATAGTGGACTCTTTCGATGAAGTGGTCCCTGCGAAGAAAATTGGAACACTCCCGAGATCACGTGGTGACATCAAATAAAAATTAAAACCGAAAAAAGGGATGACCAATGATGAAAAATAAAATCAAAAAATAAAATATAAAAATAAATCGATCGATAAAAAATAAAAATCAATAAAAAAAATAAATAAATAGAAAAATAAATCAAAAAATGTATGCTATAGAATAAAAAAATAAAGAATTAAAAAAATAACAAGTGATCGATGAATAAATAATTAAATGAATAAAGAATAAAATGAATAATAGACGAAATAAAAAATAAAGAAATGAATAAAACTAAATTTAATCACTCCCGAAGCTATAATATTTTATTAAAATGATCAAAAGAAAATTTTTTTAAATCACAATTTTTCAATATTAGCGAACTTTCGAAAATGCGTACACTGAAGAGGAGAATTGTCGTATTATAAAATTATTGTCGTATTTTTCACCAGTAAATATACAAGTTGTGACCTGCTAATTGAAATCCCTTGTTCCCAAGCCAAACATTGCTGCGAGAATAAAGCAGAAGTCCCATTAGTCTTTTGTTTTGTTGACCTTCCCGGAAAAGTTACAACCTCAACCGATTATTATTATATGTATTTTAAATTCACATTTAAGTAAATTATCCTCTTATTATATTACTTTATTATTGTCCTTACAAGACAAACATTAAAATCTAATATCAATTTAATTGTTGAACGATAAAAATATAGTTAATTATCATTATGATAAAAATAAATATTTTTTGGAACAATAATTAATTAAAATATAAAGAAATCAAATAATTATTACTTATTTTGTCGGGAAGAAAAGAAAATTCAAGATTCCGAATAATTATTCCTTAATTTATTATCTTATTTACATAATATTATCTTTAATTGTAATTCTACACTATTTACAGATTTTTGATGATTTCAAAATTTAAAATTGTTCTTTTTTCGAATTACTATTATTTTTTTTTGAATGAATATTAGTTCAAAAGGTATTATTTTAACAATATGCCATTGTTTGTAGTAACGTGTAAAAAATATCATTTTTCAATCACTAAAAATTAATTTATAAAAATTTATTGATACAGTTTCCAGAGTGCATTGAAATATGCCGCAGATGATTTAATTACCTGCAATCCAATAAATATACCTAAAATTTAATTTTTCATGTAAAGAAAACAAAAATTGGAAATATTTTTGAAAAAAACGAAAATTGTTTATTGAAAACGTAAAAAACAAAAATCATACTTTACTGAATGTAGCCATTGAGAGTGTCACAACTTTTCCAGCAGTAATTTTTGCTGGAAATTGACAAACTCTAATGAAAAGTAACAAATCCAGTGATATTTTTCTTGGCAGTCGATGCCATTCAATCATGTAACCCTTCTCGCCAAGTTTTGTCGCCTATGGAAAATAAATTTATTTTTATATTTTTTTTCCTCATTTCTAAGCAAACAATTAATACGCACCTGAGTAGTTAACAATTCTCCCAGATAACAATAGATAAAAATATTAAAAGTGAACGATAAAAGAATGACCGCATACGAAATAGTGGCAGTTAAATCATCCTTCTTCCAACTCTAAACAATAAATAAAGATATACATGTAATAAAAATTATTGTTATAATAAATAGTATATAATAATAATAAAAAAATCATAAATAAGGATTGTAATAAAAGAAAATTCAAAATTTTGACAATTAGCATTGGAAGTTTTAAGCAGGAATAAAAATTAAAAAACAAACTAATAAATAATTAATAAAATCAATAAATAAATAATTAATAAATATAAAACTATTAATAAATACATTTATTTACCTCTATTATATAAGAACCGACTAAACACATATTCATTGAACATCCCACAACTTCGATCAAACATATTTCATTCAGTAATTGCTCCAGTTGAGAGACAAAACTGAAAATAATCCCACTAAATTAATATATTCTAAACAAGAAATAATCCGACTAATTAACTAATTACTACAAATTCATAGACACAAAATTAATTCAAATAAATTAAAGACATTAATAAACGCAAAATTAATTCAGTTAATTAAAAGAGATTAACAAAAACTAAATTGAAATTTTCATTTATTAATTATGAATTATTATAAATTATTATTAATTAAAATAATTAGAACAAATTAATAAACACAAAGTTAACTAAAATAATGAAAACAAATTCGTAAAACAAAATTAATTCAAATAAACGAACTAAAGAACAAAAATTTAATTGTTCTCATGGTTTCCTTGAACAAATAAAGAAATTCTAATTCTAATTCAAATTCTAATTAACATAATTAATTAATTTAAATTATTAGAACAAATTAATTATTATTGTTTATATTTTCAAAAATTTTAATAAAATTCCTCGCAAATCAATGATTTTTAACAAAATTTTAATAAAATTTTACAAAAGAATTGAATTATTTTCTAAAATTTTAATAAATCCTTCTAAACAATTCAATAATTTTCTTAAATAGAAAAATCTTCGCAACAATTCAATTACTTTTATAAATAGTAAGATTCTTAGCGAGAATTCAATTATTTTTATAAATAGTAGTAAAATCTTTGCAAAAATTCAATTATTTTCAATAAAATTTCGCGAAAGAATATTATTTTTTTTTAATTCGCTATAAAATTTTTTAAAAGAAATCAATTATTTTCTAAAATCTTAATAAATCCTTCGAAACAATTCAATTATTTTTATAAATACTAAAATTCTTCGCAACTATTCAATTATTTTTATAAAAAGTAAAATTCTTCGCAAAAGTTCAATTATTTTTATAAATTATAAAATTCTTTGCAGAAATTCAATTCTTTTCACAACAATTTTAATACGATTCCTTTAAAGAATTTAATTCTTTTCAAATATTTACATAAAATTAAATTATTTTCTAAAGTTTTAATAAATCCTTCTAAACAATTCAATTATTTTTTTTAATTAGTAAAATCTTTGCAAACATTCAATTATTTTCAATCAAATTTCTCGCAATTCAATTATTTTTAACAAAATTTTAATAAAATTTTACAAAAGAATTCAATTATTTTTATAAATAGTAAAATTCTTCGCAATAGTTCAATTATTTTTATAAATTGTAAAATTCTTTCCAGAAATTAAATTCTTTTCAGAACAATTTTAATAGAATTCCTTTAAAGAATTCAATTATTTTCAAATATTTACATACAATTAATTTATTTCCTAAAAAATAAATCCTTCGAATCAAATCAATTATTTTTATATATATATATAGTAAAATTCTTAGCGAGAATTTAATTATTTTTATAAATAAAAAAAAATTCTTCGAATTAATTTAATTATTCTCTTTAAATTTTTTGATAAGATTCTTTGAAAAAATACAATGATTTACGATATACATTAATTTTAAAAAGAAAATTTTAAAAAAAGTTATGAAGCAAAAAAGCAATCAACAACTAACTTCAAACTGTGAAGGTTACACCGGAATACAACGATTATTAATATAGATTATTAATTAAAATATGTAGAACAAATTAATAGACACAAAGTTAATTAAAATAGTTAAAACAATTTAATTAACACAAACTTAATTGAAATTTTAATGATATTAATTATTAATCATTATAATTATGCTTAATTCAAATAAATAGAACAACTTAATAAGCACAAAATGAATTCCCACAATTGAAAGAAATTATTAAATAAAAAATAATTAATAAAATTAAAACAAATTCGTAAGCAAAAAATTAATTTAAATCAGCATAAAATTTACGAACATAAAAATTAATTAACTAATTTGATACAAACCTCAAAACTCTCAAATGTGAATTTATAATAATAATCAATCTTTCATGAGCAAAATTTGTTTCCTTCCTCGTTTCACTAACAAGATCATTCAAATAAATTGTGGCAATTTCCAATTGTCCACAGGCATGTAGTGTCAAAACTGATGCAAAACTAAATGGCACAACAGTCGCAGAAAATAGAACAAAATCAGCGACAAGTAACAAAATGAAAATAATTTCATAATACGGACTGTAACCAGTATTCAAAAATTTCCCATAAACTGGTGCTGGATATGGTATCACTGTTATATTCTCATGAGTGATTATTTTCTCCGACACCAATGGACGTACCAAATGATAACCAAAACCTCCACAATACATAAAAATAGCACACAAAATTATTAAATATCTTCCATAGTGTGCATTCTTTAACATAATTTGACGATAATTTTCATGAATTGAGCAAAATTTCCAATCCTCTTCAATGTGTTTAAAACATTTTTTCACAGTTTCACCGCGATACAAAAGTATCAAATACTTTGACAGGCTCATTATGTAAAAATTAGTGGGACCAATAAGTTCAACTTTTTCATGAACACTTTTCATTTCGTAAATAATTGTTAAAACATTAGAGAGAATTGAACAAAACATGAGAAAACAGGCGATTACATTTAAAGTGAATTTGATAATTTTTTTCCAAAATGAATCATCAATATTAATTGGCCATAAACCGAGAATTAATGCAAGAATACGAGAGAGATTTATTGTGTATTTCACATCCTTTTTATATGACAGTTTATTAATTTGAAAAATTTGGGAAATTTTCCGAGACATTTTACTATGAGTACAATTCACTTGAGACTGATGTTCATTATTGTGATCGCGGGCATTGTACTTGGGGTTAAAGTTTTTCAACGGGAAAAAAGTTTACTTCACTTAAACAAATAATGGAGTCTATTAAAATTACAAGTTTTATTTATTTTGTATAGTTAGCGTTAAGTAAATCTAATGGTATCAAATTTATGTGTAATAATCGACTGAGGTGTGTATCGAAAGTACATTTAATATAAACAAGAGTTGTTGAATAATTGAATATATTTAGTTTAATAGAGTAATAAAGTTTTGCCACTGCAAATAAAATATTTGATCTTGAAACTAAATTTTTATTGTTTGTATTTCTCTATTTTTTATTTGGCTAATAAATATTTTTTTATTCTTCATTCATTATTTATTTAATATTTATTATATAATTTTATATTTTATATACTTTTCTAAATTTATTATTTATCTTTTCTTTATTTTCTTTATTTTTTCCTATCAATTGCCATTATTCTTTACATTATTATTTTTATTAGTATTTGTAAAATAAATTAAATTCGTTTATGATTTGTTTTTCACTGGAAAATAAGTTTTATAGAAATAAAAAAAATAATTAATAAAAAATAGTGAATTAAATACAATTAATAATTATTTTTCAGCGAAATGTTAATAAAAAAATAACTGGTTCGAGGAAAATAATATTATTATTAGTATTATTTTTTTATAATTATTAATATTATTATTATAATAGTGTTATAATACTAACGTTTGTCAATAAATTTTTAGTGGAAAATAAATATAAAGAAAAAATTATTACAAACATAAAAAAATAGAAGAAAAATCATTTAGTTTAATAAATTTTCAGTGGAAAATAAGTAGAGGGAAAAAATGATTATAAATATAAAAAAATAGGAGAAAAATGATTTTGTTAAATTAATTCAATCAATATTTATAAATTTATTTTCAGTAGAAAATAAATAGAAAAAATTTAAAAATTTGAAGATTTTAAATTTAAATAATTAAAAAAATTTTAAATTAAAAAAAAGGAGAAAAATTATTCAGTAAAATTAATAAAATTTAAATTTTCTATTCATTTCATTTTCGCATAGAAAATTAACCTTAATATATAAGTTCTCTGAAAATTTGTACATTAACAAAATATTATGCACCCGAGAGAATTAAAGTGTAATTATTGTAATTAAGGTCTAAAACGTGATTCCTCCTACGATAGTGAGCTAATAATTATCTAATATTTATCGCACATTTGTTGGACATTATTTATTATAATTGTAGGAATTAATTAACATTTTGTGCATGCGCTCACCTACAAAATTATTTTCATTGCAAAAAAAAAAAAAAAAAAAAATGCTACAACTATTTAGTAGTGTGAGTTACTATGTTATAAACTTAATTTACCGAGAATTAAAAGCCAACATTTATTCTTGTGTATATATGTTCCCGGATGGATCTTCAGGGATTTAAAGCTCCAATGAAATTAAATTCTCTTTTATTTTTAACTAAGTTTTTAAATATCATTCACTGTTAAAGACATTAGGGTTTTTATAAAATCATTTGAAATATTGTAGATATTTTTTATTTTATCGAAATTTTTAAATTCTCTCGTATTTAAGTGAAAGTAAAAATACGTTTATAGTAAAAACATATTTAGAAAAAATGAAAAATAATAAAATAAGTTATAAATAGAAATAACAAACGAAATTTTTTTCTGTTCAAATATTTTCAAAGATCATACTAAAATAAAAAATAATGTGAATTTTATAATTAAAAATGAAGAAAACTGTAAAACAAGTATAATGCTTTTTCATTATTTGAGAAAGTTTGGAAATTTTTTTTTCTGCAAAAAATATTTCATAAATCCCTTATTAAAAACAATATAAAATGTTTTAATTCAATATTGAATTCGAAAATTTCAACACAAAATTTAATTGAACTTTTTCAACAAATTTTGATTGATCTCTTCCTCTATTTTTTTGAAACGAAAAAATACTTTTTTCTCAAATTTCAATTAATAATGCTTCTTTTTAAAATAATAATTATCTCTAAATTATAATTATTTTGAGAAAAAGATTTTCTTAACCGATTGTCAGACTAATGTTAATTAATTATCGACACCTTTCTAAAGAACTTTCTCTACAACGAATGACATCATTAAAAATCCTCTTCAAATGACAATTTGTTCAACAAATCAAGGTATTATTGCACATTACAAAAAGTACGCATTCACTTAATAAATAAGTAAACAAATAAATAAATAAAACGAATTACAATATCAGTCAATAAGTAACGATAAATAAAATAAATTAATCAATTGAAAAAATAAATAAATTATAAATAAATAAAAAAAAATTGTATTACTAATTAGTAGTTAATAATTAATAAAATAAATTTACGAATTAATAAATAAATAAACTAATAAATAGGAAAAAAGAATTTTATTACTTATCAATAAAATAAATTAACAAATTAGTAAATAATAATAATTAAAGAAATTAATAAATAAAAAAATCTAATTTTATTATTAATTAATTAATAATTATATAATAAATTCAAAATCAAAATTTTTGGTAGGTTTAAAAATACATTTTCTCGTAGAAATTACGTTTGGGATGAAATTTAATTTTTAAAGAAGCAAAATTTAAAAAATTAATAGTTAATGTGATAAATATAAAAAAATTATCATTCGAATTTTATCGTACATCGATTATATTGAGGAATAAATAGCAAACTAATTGGAAAAATAGCGAAAATAATTACAAGGGTCTTTGCATAAATTACAGAGAAATTAATTGCGTAAATTTCAGCAAATCGATTTTACCATTAATCATAACAAACCTGTCAGTAAAAAATAATTCAATGAAATTTATCACACGATTAACGAAATCAATTAATTTATGACTCAAATTAAAAAAATAATAATTCAATTAAAAAAAGATTGAATTTTTAAAAATCAATTTTAATAATTTTTTAATTTTTTTATTTTACATGTATATGAATATCAACTTACGAGCTAGGAAAAAAATATTCCTTCCGTCAGTTTTTAATTTTTAGACTTTAAAATTAATCGTAAAATTAAAATTTATTAAAATTAAAATAAAATTAGTTCTAAAAACAATTTTGTGACATAAAAACAAAAGAGTTTCTTTTATCAAGGCCCATAGAAGAAATTTAATTGTTTGAAGAAAAAAAAATTCTTTCTTTTCTTTTTTTGGATTTAAATTATACTAATTTTTTTTGTTGGTTTTAAATTATAATAATGAATACAGGTACATATATAAAAATGGTAACAAGTTTTTTTTTCTTCCTCAGTCGGAAATTATTCATTATCCGAGATATTTAGAATTTTATGATTTATTCAAACAATCGGAATGATCTACATCTTTTTGTCTGGTGAATGATGACGAAAGGAATTTGAGTGGATTTGAGATTTACATTTCTTGTCTTTATTGAAGGCAAAAGTATAACCAGCGTACTTCCGTTTCTTATTAGTGAGAAAGAAGAAAAAAAAAGGAGAGTGTCTCTCTCTCCCTCTTTCTCTCTCTCTGGGGGAATTAATTAGCACGTAATCGCACGACGTTTCATAACAACGTCGGCGCGAAATATTCACTCGGCACAAGTCCGTTTGTCCAACTCTATTATTTCCCTCGCGTGTTAAATTCACAGAATTCTCATCACCTCATAGCGACTAGTGAGAGAATAATAAGCCATGAAGATAAAGTAGGTTTTTGATCAATTTAACTCGCGGTCACGTTATTTCAACAAGTCAATTTTACGCCAGTCATGAAAAAATATTTATTCATCTGCATTGCATTTTTTTTTCTTTCTCTCTTTATATTCTTTTTTTTTTTTTTTTTTTGACACCATTCCTTTTTTTGTGGGAAGTTTCACGACACAATTTTTCATTTATTTTTTTCACCTTTTTTCTTTTTTTCTTTTTTGTATATGAAATACAAAAAACGATTTTTTACTTTCTCATTTTTTTATTGCAATAATTATTATTTTTGCACGAAAATTTAAGTTTGTTTTTCCTTGAATTTTCCCTAATTTCCAGGTGGAATTCTGATTTTTCTTCTCTTCAATGAAAAAAAAAATAGAGCAAAATTTTTTTCATGAGATTTAAGAAAAAATTATTTGCCACAAAAATTTAATTTAATTTTTCCCTCACTTTTCGGCTGCTTTTCAGACAAAATTTTGAATTTTTTCTTGATTCTAAAGAATATTCTAATTCACTTAAAATATTAAAATTAGTTACTCAAAAAAAATATTATTTTCTAGAATTTTTAATTATTTTTTATAAAAATAATAAAGAAATTTATAAAAAATTTGAAAATAATAAAATTCTTGTAAAATTTTTATTATTTATAAAAGTAATTAAAAGGTTTGCGTACAATTTTATTAAATTTTTTTTTAAATAATTGAATTCCTTTTGGGAAATTTTCATTCAAATAGTAGATATTGAAAATCATTGAAATTAGAAAAATTTTTGAAAATAATTAAAATTAGGACAAGAATTTTATTGACATTTTTAAAAATAATTGAACATTGGGGAAGAATTTTGTTATTTATAAAGATAACTGGGATTTTGACGGTAAGTTTTTTTAAATTTTGAACATAATTGAATTTTAAGAGAAGAATTTTATTTTTTTTTTAAATAATTGAATTTTTGCAATTATTTGTAATTTCTCCAAAATTAAATTTTTTAGTGTTTTCTACAAAAATTTGAATTAAAAATTTCTAAATTCTATTATTTTTAAAATTGATAATTTTAT